GAATATCAGAATGGGTTTTTCTATTTCTGCAAAAAATGCCAGGGATTTTGATAGGGATTACTTTGAACCTGTAGATTGCTTTCAGTATTGCTATCTTACTAATACTAAGTCTTTTAATCACAAATGTGATATCTTTCCATTTATTTGTGTCTCCTTTAGTTTCTTTCAGAAAATGTTTTAGTTTTTAGTGTACAAGTCTTTTGCTGCCTTGGTTAAATTTATTCCTAAGCATTTTATTCTTTTTGAAGCTGTTGTAAGTGGGATAGTTTTTAAAAATTTTCTTTTGGATTTTTCCAAAATTTTTCTTTTTGGAAGATTAGTGTATAGAAATTCAATTAATTTTTTCATGTTGATTTTGTACCTGCAATGGTACTGAGTTTACTAGAAATAACAGGTAAAATTTTTTTTAGAGTTTTCACATATGAGGTTGTCACTTGCAAACCGATATAATTTTGCTTCTTCCTTCCTGATTTGGGTACCTTTCATTATTTTTTTCTCAATTAATTTCTCCATCTAGGACTTCCAATGTTGGGTTGGCCAAAAAGTCTGTATGGTTTTTTCTGTCAACTTCACCTGGTCTACCCAACTGTGGAGCATCATCCAGTGAGAAATCTCCAGCACAAAACTTTGCAAACCACTCTTGATATGTTCTGTCAGTCACAGCACCTTCTCCATACACCATACAAATCTTTTTGGGTTTCAGTTGCATTTTTACCTTGAAATAATACAGCATAATATGCAAAAAATGTTGCGTATTTCTTCCGTCTTCAATATTAAAATGGCTATACCAAAATTCACCAACTTTGATAAGCTTTTTAAGAAAATACACACCGATATGACAGCTGTCACAATACCATCTAACATAATTGTTTTGAATGGAGTTAAAGACAACTAAGTACTACTAGAGCCATTTTATAGAAAAAAACAAGCGAACTTTTTGGCCAGCCCAATACTATGTTGAGTGAAAGTGGTGAGAGTAGATGTCTTTGTCTTTTCCCTGCTTTTAGGGGTAAAGCTTTCAGTCTTTCACCATTGAGTATGAGGTTAGCTGTGAGTTTTTCATATAGCTTTATTATGGTGTGAAGTTTCTTTTAATACTAGTTTGTTTTTTTTTAAAATCAAGAAAGGACGTTGAATTTTGTTAAATACTTCTGTAGAGATGCATATTAAAGTATACAGGGGTGCTTTCTGAGGTTTACTTTAAAGTACTTCAGCAAAGAAAAAAGGGGTTTAATGAAGCAAGTGTGGCAAAATTTGGATAAGTGTGACAAATGAGTGATGCTTTGGGAATTAACTATTATCTCTTTTTGAGTACAGATTATAAAAATTTAAAGGAAAAACTTTCATTAAAATACTCATTTTATTTTTTAAACATTGTTTGAATGTTTTTATTTATGAAAATAACTTTCTGATTTTAAACTCATCTTTTAAATTACTTTCACTATTGTCTCTTAGTTTTAGGGAATATTGTGATCTTTTGGAACATTGAACTATATTATACTTTTGCTTTTTCTTAAGATGGAAAAAGAATCTGTTTATGTTCTTTTTGTTTGTGGGAGCTTCTTGCTAAAAGTGCTCTTCTAACTCTAGAGGTTGGTAAAATTGATGCTCTTGAGTTCTTGGGTGTTTCATATGAATGTGCAGTAGTTTCTAAACTTGAATTACTGGGGCAGGGCTTTAAAAAACGTATAGAACTGTCGACACATTCATCAGGCCTGCGGGAGCACTTGGTCCCCAGGAATAATTGGGGTGTAGCCAGGTTTGGGCATCACTAAATATGAACAAAGCTTCAGAAAGGGCGTGGGAGCAACATCTCTTTGTGGACCTCCCTGGGGGCTGTAGAGCATCCTGTTTTAGTGGGAGGGAGAGCAGGACTTGGAATCAGAAGTTTCAGTCCGGTCAGTAGACCTAGAGGACCTTGGTTAAACTGATAACTTCACCCTTGGAAAAATAGGAGACTGAACTGTACCACGAGTGAGCTTCCTGAATGAATGAATTATTCTATGATGAGATTTTGGGAGAGAGAGGTTGATCACCAGAAGTGACAGGATTAATGTGCAATAATCCTGTCACCAAAGGAGAAGATACTTGAGTATCTGTACTAAGTTGACTAAATTTTTAGACAAATTGCTTAAGGAAAATAACTATAAATTTCCAAAGATACTTTTTCTTTTTTTTTGGTGGAGTTGGTGTGGGGGAGTGGGAAGGGTGGAAGAGAAGCTTGCTTTGTTAGTTTATTTTTATACATATTTATTTAAATCAGCATAAGTAGTAGAAACATGGCATTCATTTCAAAAAAAGAAAAACTCAATCTCTTCTTGGATGGTCTAGTGGAACTGCAACTTTGACATATTTAATAAAATTAAGCATTGTACAATGCACCTTTCTTTTGAAGCCTTTAGGAGTGTTCGAATATGCCTTGTTAGCTAGCTTACCCAAGACAAACTGAGAGGTCAGAGAGATGCTGGCAGTCGGTTGGATCCTGAGGCTCCCAGGCCTTGAGGTTAGTCCCAGATAACATTCTGGGTTACTGTGTGACTGCTAGCAGATTCTAGTCTTCTAAAAGTCCAGAGTTCAGAGGGGAATGGATCCGAGAGACTTTGGGGCTGCCCTTTCTTTTACAGATGGCAGAACTGAGGGCCCGAAAGGGACAGCCTAGCCAGAGCCAGAGCCAGAGCCAGAGCCAGAGCCAGAGCCAGAGCGAGAGCCAGAGCCCTCTCATGCTGAGCCCAGGCTCTGTTAGGATGGCAGCACCTCAGAACACAGAACATACTTCCCTGCCGGAAGCCACATCTTTCAGTGGTGACACCCACTGGCGGCCCCCGTGGTCTTTTGCTTGTTTTGGAGAGATGCAGCGTGACTGCTTTTGTTGTTACAGCACTGGGTGGTCTGCCAGTGAGCACGTAGTATAAATAACAACTAATAAATAATTTTACAGCAGAGCTCCTAAATCTTTCCAGATAGTGCACTGGTGCGTGGCTGTCAAATGCCAGACAGAGCCTAAAAAAACAGTAACTTTAACCCATCCATCTTCTATGTACATGGCACATTGTTGTCATAAAATTTTCCGAAGGTTTTAACGGCTGAAGGGAAAAAATGTACACATGAGAACGCACGTATGTAAACACACCCGCATGTGCATAGCTGCCCTATCTGACTACATGATAACTTCTGTTTGTTGAAATTATGTATTTTATATCTTTCTGAATTTTTCTTCTACTTGGCTATAGTAAGCGATTTAATTTTCTACTGCGGTAAATTTGATATTTTTGGAATAAAATTCCTTTGATTTTGCATGCTGGACTGTACTTTTGTGCCTGTTTTAGTGTCACAAATGATAAGAAGATGAATTGGTTTTGCTCACTTCATAGTTTTTTTACCTCTTGAGACCGAGGTTCTTGAATCCTGTGCTGTCTAAGACCCTTGGGTTTCCAGCTGAATTGGGGTTAGGATTCTGGCCTTGTCCCTCTCCCTGAAATGCCCCAAGCTTCAGCTTCTTCACCTGCAAATTGGGAGTAATAATACCTGTTGCAGAGCATTATTTTAAGGATTGAGAGTGGTAGCTTCTACAAGAGCCACCAGCATAGACTCTCCACATAGAGCTCTCAGTAGGTGTTCGTTCTCTTCACCTTCTGTCTGTATGTCTTGTACCCTCTTCTGTTGAAATTTTGCTCACAGCAAAGCCTGTTCTCTTTTGCAGCTACCCTGAGTTGGAATAAAAGACACGCTGCTCTGCATTTTCATAGTGCGCTTCCCTTGCGCTTTTCCCACATGCTCTATGATGTTTTGTCTTTCTCTGGGGTGATTTCAGGGGACCTGCCTCTGTACCAGTTACCCTCCATCTGGGCCGAGCCACTGCACAGAGGCTGTCCAAGGGCAGGCTGTGGCTGACTGAGTCCTGCATTTCTTCTGGGACATTAGTGCCTATGTGATCACAGACAAACCCTCAGTAGATGTGGGGACAGTTTCTAAAACAAGTCAGAATGGTACCTGCTCATAAGGTGGGTGCTGTCTCCTGCACCCTTGTTGCTTCCAGCTGCCCGTTTCTCTCCAGACCCTCTCGCCTGGAGGCCTCTGCTCTGTCACTCGGGCAGGCTTGGCCTCCTGGAGGAGGCCAGGTTTATAGAGTACTGGTTAATCGGAGCCAGCCTGACTGCTTAATAGCTGTGTGCTATGGGGGGAATTGTAGCCCCAGAAGTCATTAAAGTCACCCCCAGCACCTAAGAATGTGACTTTTTTTATACAGTCTTTAGAAATGTCATCAAGGTTGCATGAGGTCATTAAGGTGTACCCTACTCTAATATGACTTGAGTCCTCATTGAAAGGAGAAATTTGGACACAGAAGCAGATATGTACAGAGGGAAGACGATGTGTAGGGGCAGAGAGAACACCACCTGCAAGCCAAGGGATGCCTGAGGCTACCAGGAGCGAGGACAGAGGTGTGATACAGATCCTTTCTCACAGATCTCAGAAGGAGCCTATCCTGTCAACACCTTGATTTGGGACTTTTAGCCTCTAGAACTATGAGACAGTCCATGTCTGTTGTTTAAGCCAATCAGCGCATGATACTGTTGGGTGGCAGCCTCGGGAAGCTAATACACTGTGTAAAGCAAGAAAGTTTAACTCCTTTCAGCTTTATTTAGTTCTTATCTATAGAACAGGATCATGGGATAAGTCATATCTATCTCATAGGGTTCTTCTGAGGATTAAATGGTGCCTGGCATACTGGGAAGGTCTTTATTAATGGCGTCCCTTTACTGTTATCCTATAGATTCCTGGCCCTCCTCAGTCCTGGACCACTTTTAATCTTAGCAGCCCCTTGATGCACTTCTCCAGAAGCTGTTCAGCCAGGTTCTAGTTTCAGTAGTCATTCAATCTAGAAGCCTTAGTGTAAAGCAAATTTTGTTTTCCTATGGGAACCTAGTTTAATAGGAGGTTCATTTCCTGACCAAGCGCTCAGCAACACACAACCTGCAAAACATCCATCCTGACAGGTTAGGATGTGTCCACAGGCTGAGGCCTTCCTGCTCTCAGGTAACCATTTTAACTGGGAGCCTTTGTTATTTATGATTCCCTTTAAGTACCCATTGATTTCCTGACTTTTAAAAGCCTGTCATCATAGGCTATAGGAAGTAGGGCCTGGTTTATTTGGTAGTCATTAGGAGAAAAATTAAAATCTGTGAATTTAAATCTATGCATCCCTCCCGGAATGTGGGAGGTGCGTGACATCTGGAATCAGTTGTGGGCTTCACTCTGACACTGGTAGCTGTGTGGCCTTGGACCAGTTACTTAATCTTTCTGAGCATCTGCTTTCTCCTCTGTAACACTAAGGTGATGATGCCTGCCCAGGTGGCTCTTTTAAGATTTAAGTAAGATAATGTAGGTAAAGAAACAACTTTTCCATGTGGCACCTATTCAAAAAACATTCCTTTCCTCTCACCTCTCCCATTCCTCAACTGTTACAGTCAACAGCTCAACTGTTGGCTACTCAGACATGATGCGGAGGGTCCTTTGGGACAGGTAAGAGCTTACTGTGCCCCTTGAAATGTCCTCCCTAGAGAGTGGCCCACCAGCTACATGCTGAGAACCTTTGAGTGACACAGTTCAGATTCAACACTTTGCTCAGCATGGTCTGAAGTGAATCTGATATTCCATGGACAGCCTTTTGGTAATTTTATAGCTTCTGAGCTATTTATTTTTTGAGAGGTCTGAAAGTACCAAACATTTGAAGGATGAGGTATGAGATGTGCATGTGCGCGCGTGTACGCACGATGGCTGAAAACACGAAATTTCCAATAACTAGGGTTCTTTAATGATGAGTTGGTCATCTCTATAAATTCAATGTATATTTTTGAAGTTCTCTAAGATAAATCTGTGTTAATAACTATGGCTATCTGAGCACTTAGGGTTCAGATAACATGAATAACCTAAAAATCTCTAAGCTCTTTATAAACATCAATGCAGGCTATATTAATAGCCATATAAAAAACAGGCCTTCAGTTTGAACTTAATTGAATTAGTCATTTGGTATTGGATGAGGAGCCTGCTCTACTTTCACTTAAAGAGGAGTGGGGTGGAGAAAGAAAGAGGCATAGAATGTTATGTTTCAACATCATTTATTTGTTTTATTAATTTTCTAGTCTCAAAGTCATTCTCAGATGATTCCATTAAAAGGAGGTGGGATATTTGCCATTTTTCATGAAAGTAATGACAGATGAAGGGGGTGAGAGATTATTCATACCTTATTATAAGCTGTATAACCTCATTCTATAACTGCTTTTTGTGTACTAAAAGCCAAATTACCTTCCTTTCTTTTAAAAATAAAGAACATAAATTCCATAGGGGCAAGTTCAAAACAAAATTTCACAAGTTTTCATACTGCTGTTCAATTAATAATTATTTTCACAACCTGGGTTCAGGTAGGACCCTAGTTTGAGTAGCTATATGATCTGGGAACCAGTGTGAAGTGGATCACCATAAAGTGAATCATAGTTCCCCATAGGAGTCTAGTTTTAATTAGGAATTTTATTCCTGACAAAGTGCTCAGCATCATATAAATCTTAAATATGGCCATTAATATGTTAGGAAAATAAAGATAGAGCAATATATATCATGTAATAACTGAAATAATAGCATTATACTCCTAGTTACATAGAGTGGACCTGCATATAGTGTATACATTGATTATATAAAGGCCCTAGTGCTTTATAAAATATACATTCAGCACATAAAATGCATAGCTCTGCCATGATTTAATATCTATGAAAGAACTTAATAAACTATAGAGTGCTATACAGATGTAAGCTAAAATTTTATTAGCCTTGTGCTTATAGCCTAACATAATACACGTGCAATAAGACATTCCTCGATGTCTAGTTAGCAGTATTTTTGCTTTCATTAGAGTTTAGAAGTTTGGGTGACTCATGAACTAGGATATGTAGAGAAGCTTGAATGGATGCTATTTTGGGTGGTTAGTATTTCTTTATGCTTATACGCTTTGTTTCAAAATGTTTTTACATGTGTTTGGGATGTGATCCTCATTATCTCCTTTAAGAGAAGATATGGTTATCCCCATTTTGAAGAAGAGGGAGGACTCTGATGCTTACGGAAAACAAATGGTACCTTCAGAGCCACTGTGTCACTAGGAAGTTGTAAAACCCAAACTAAAGCCTGTTATTTCTGACTCCTCATTCTGTGCTCTTTTAAGTGCTTCATAAGAACCTGGCATTTCCCCCTGTGGTAAACAGATGCTATCAGCAGTATTTCATTGATCTTAGAACAATGTTTAAGACTTCCTTACAGAAGAATCCAGCTGTGAGGGTTCAGGAGGAGAGAATCTTAAGTCTTAGCTCTTCCCCCCGCAATAGCATTACTGATTACAGGTGGTCACAGTAGCCTGGACAACCTGAGGAGGGCACATGGATAGGGGGAAGTGGGGTCATCTGTCTGCCTTCTTATATTAGATAATACTAGTCAATGCTGCAGTAACAAGAAATCTTCAAGTCTCAGTATTTATAACAAAGATCTATCTATCAGATATAGCCAGAGGCTCTTCTTTGTGCGGTGACTGAAGGATAGGGCTGCTGTCATTATGTAAGTCCACCATCTTGGAGTTTCTGTTTTCCAGGTATGAGCAAGAGGGGAAGAAAACATGCGTCTGCCCCTGCGTTAAGGAGTACAGTGTGTGGTCTCATGATCAAGTGTTCTTCTCTGTGCTAAGACTGTTGGCTTCTACAGCAATAGAATCATGACACTGTCTTCATTAACATCCTGGTTCATCACCTGACCTGACCATACCTGACAATTATCTTGGTGGCTTTTTGTTTGTTTATTAAACGTGTGTGGAGTGCTTGTGAGCAAGGCATTGGGTTGGAAAGTTGATTCAAAGCAGCGACTTATTCCAAAGACTCACTCGAATTGTGTTCCACCCAGTTATCAAACCTTGCATCAGGGCTGTTGTTAGTCTATATGAAGTCTTTGTGCACATTGGAAACAAGGCACCCCTTCCTCGATGCACTTAACTTCCATCTCTCAGAAAATTGTTATGCTGAGTTTCTTAGAACAATTTCCTCCATTACTGTCTCCTGAAAAATTGTCCAAATAAATATGCAAATTGACAATTCCCTCTTACTTATCACCCTGTCTCCCTTGTGCAGTATGAAACCTGCTCAAATGTATGTGGCAGCTTGTTCCCCTTGCTTCCGACTGTTGAGTTTTTCTGAAGTTCTTCAGCTAGTCCCAGGTAACAGTCTTTCCAATCTTCGTAAACATGGTGGGGTATTCCTTTTTTTTTTTTTTTTTCCCCCAAGATGATGATGTCAGTTCTGTTAGGCCACAGGAAAAAGTATCACTTCTTTTCATAAAATTTCTGTGCTATTTTCTGAGGCAGATATCATCAATCTTTAGTCTGATTTGTTTTAAAATTATATACACCTTCATCCATTGTTGGTGTCTCTATTCTTTGACCATTTGTTACATTTTGAAAATATGGAGTTAACCTGGTACAATAGTTCCTTTATTCAAAAACTTTTTACTCACTTAGGACCTTAATGGAATATCCTCAGAGTGATAAATTCATGCCCAGAGGCTAACAATTATTGCAATTATTAGGAAAATAGATTTTCTGTTTGCCAGCATTTGCAATAAGCCAACTCAGCAGGCAATGCTATTATTCATTAAATGAACAAATGAATGCATACATTGTGATGGACAGTTAGTCTTAACTGTAAACCAATTGCTTTAAATAAAAATCTGTTTTATAACTGCATGTTATCACAAAAGGACCCGAACTTAGAAAAGCCCCATTACTGTTTCTTTGAGTTAAGGAGTCTTGCTAAAAACGAAGAAGCAATCATGTGTGAAGAAGGATAGTATGTTTAAAAAAATTCCAGGACTGGTCTAATTGCACTTTGATTGCTGTCTCTAGGGAGTAATTCTTATTCCTTGGTAGGAAACCACGAGCAAGTCTGACCGTTTGGTTTTGTGAAAATAAACTTAGTTTAATTTATTGACACATTATACATACCTGCCAAATTTTCTTATGTTTTTTTCCCTGACATGTGTCTTGCCTGATGGAGTCACTGTAATGCAGCCTATGTGTTTTTAAAGAAATTATGTTTTGCTAAGGAATGTATCAAAATTGTTAAACCACGTTGCACCTTGTTCTCATTAGTCTTTGGAATGCAGCTGCCGGAACAGAAAGGGCAAGGGAGACAGAGACGGAGGGTGGTGGTTGCGAACACTCTCACCTTCTCTCCTTCTAGGGGGCCTCTGGGTTCCATTTTGAGCTGCAGGGTCTCAGTCCTTGCTCAGGCAGCTGTGCCAGGAGGTGCGGTAGGGGATCCCCGTAACCCAGGCCCATTGCTACTCTGCGTAGCTGGCAAGCCAAGTAACAAAGTGAATCTCCTTTCTCTGCAGTCCAGCTACAGTCACCCTACTGTATATAGTTAAATTTCCAACATCCGGGTCTCCATTGGAAATACTTGCTAAAGGACTCCCTGGGTTTATTAACAGCAGTGAACACTGCGAAGTGTGCAGATGTTCTAAGTCCTGACAATTCTACCTGCTAATGTCTCTTGTCCGTCCCTGCTCTCCACTCCTGACGCCCCTGCCTGCTTCTGGATCCCATGAATCTTGCCTGAACTGGTACAGTAGCTTCCTAACAGACCTCCCTGTTCTTTCCAGGACTCCCTTCACATTGTGGCCAGAGCGATCTTTTAAAGATGCTTGGCCTTTTCTTCTCCCAGCTTGGAGCTCATCCGGGGTTCTCCATCACCTGCAGCATAAAATGACAACCCTTCATGTATTGCTGAAGGCCTGTCAAAGTCTGGCCACTACCTCCTTGTCCAGCCTAATCTCCCAAGACTTCTTTCTTGTACTCTTAGGTTCCAGGAATAAAGGGCCATTTGTAATTTTGGAAATATACCTTGCTCTGCCATACCTCTCTCAGTACCTTTGCTCTTGTTCTTTCTTCTTTGGATGTCTTCCCTGCTAATGGCCCATTTCCTTCAATGCTGCCTCATCTTTGAAGCCCTCTCTAGTTTCCTCTGCTGATCCAGGTGCTCAGGGTTCTGGACTCTCACTGAGCTTTATGTAAATACAGCCATCAAAGCAGTTAGTAGCATAAATATTTGTTGGTCTTGACAGGACTCTGAGCTCCTTGAGCTCGAGGGCTATAGCCTTTAATTTGGATCTCTGTAAAGGATCACAAACTTAGTATATAGAAGTTCAATGCATAAATTAAGGAAAGGCTGCCAAGTTACTGCACAGTGAGTCTTCAAAAGCTGTTCTTTTAGACATCTCAAAATCCAGCAAGTAAGGGAATGGAATGGCTTTGGTGAGAAAGTTTAGGTATCTCAGTGAAATTCAGCCGGACTGCCTTGTCTACCTCTGTGCTTGTTTTCTCTCCTGTGTTGATGTTAAATACAAAGCCACCGAAGGAAGGCTCTGCTGTGGGTCACTCCTACTGCCATGGTGACTCTGCCGGAAGTCAGCAGCACCACAGGACGGCGCAGGAGTGC